TGTGCATAATAAATAATGGTATCCGGCAGGTTCCTCCCCAACCTTGACATCTACCTCGTGAGTACCGAGACTACTGGGCAAAAATTGGACAGCAGTAGCACCAATAAGTTCTTGGAGCGACCTCCCCGAGGCAAACGATAACGCGGACGCTAACTCGGAGTGATGTGCACTGGGGTATCTGATGATTGCCCCCATAAGATCGATAAGATCGCTCGCGTTCACTGTGATGCTCTTCGCGCACTTCGCCGCCAATGGTTCTCGACGTCTTCCTTGGAAGGCTCTTCTGGTGTAAGCTCTTGATTGGAAACATACGGCGGAAGTATATTTACCTTTCGTAGGAGCTCATAAATTTCGACCACCCCAGTGAAGGACATTTTCCGTGAGTGAACTGTGTTTCGCGTTGCCCATTTGTCGAACAAATCTAACTTCGCCAACGAAACGATAAATTTCTCGGCTATTTTGAGCTTTTGTAAGCAGTATTTCTTCCATGAATCACTTGAGGTTTTCTTCGCCAGCGACGATTCCTTCCTCTGTATGACTTTGAGTATGCGCTTAAGGGCCTTCCTGATGGTGCCGTCGTTGTGAACGGGACCGTATGCTTGCATCCATTCTCGCCTGACTCAGCGGACGTTTTTGCTGAGAGAGCCTGAATGCAGTTTCTTAAGACCTCGAGTACGTGGACCGGGTCTTTGTTATTCTGTAGCCAACTCGCACACTGTGAACTAAGATCGTTCATGGTCGATTCTCAGCTACACACACCACGAATATTATATTCTCGCGGACCAGAGATGCATCCGATGATACCCTCGCGCGCAGTACAGAGATGAATCAAGCAACACGGCCTTGCTCACCTGTAGTCTTCGTCGCAATGGGTCGGTGTGCTGGAGATGGGTGTGTGAAAGGAGTGTTGTTGTGGGCATAGTCTAGATGGGGCATCTTGGTCTAGAAAGGATGTGGGACGGTCGGAAGTATACCTCTGACGGGCCATACCACATCAGAGGATCTTGACTATCCGCGTGCCCCCCTGGTTGAAAGGTGAATTGGTCACCTCAACCAGATCTTTTTTCTTTCTCAATTCAAGCAGCATCCCATCTCTATACAACCTTGGAGGCAAGCCATCAAGTGACCAGACCTCTTTCTTTACCCTAGGACCCATATGATTCCAACTGCTCGGTCTCTTTTATTCACAGCAGCATCATACGAGAAGGTTCCGAGAATACGGACGAACATAGACTACACATGTTTTGAAGTTGAGTCACAGGACAAAAAAAAGGAGGTACAGCGGGGGTGGCGGTGATGATCTATCCTCTATCCTGCCAGTTTAACGAAAACGTGAGAGACCGCCCTTACCCGGTGTCCGAGAGAGAGAGGGAAGGCGAGAGAGGGACTGAGCAGATGTGGTGAGTGGTTTCTGACGACGGTTGTTTTGTTTCCCGTTAAGATATACTTCGAAGTATGTATGTTCCTGCGTGCCATTTTTTTCCAAGCTCCGTCCGTCCGTCCGTCCGTCTGTCGTGTGGGTTTGGTCGGTCAATGGCGGACCTGGGTACATTTTATTTGTGTGTATCGTGTGAAGTCGTTCATCCACCACACACGACCAACCGATGCTTATGGTGAATGAGATGTGCTAATGGCGTTCCTCCAGGGTACAACCAGGTGTGGTCGGCGGTTCGATGAATGACTGAGAGGGATGTCATCAATCAGTCCCATCAGTCACTCACGACGAATTTGATTTTCTTCGATTGTTTCAAGAGGTGACGTCATGACCATGGCTAACGTCATCGGTCGACCATGGAATTTTCGACCAAGGGAATTTCCTTAAAAAAGAAATGCACCAATCAGAAAACTGCGGGCACCGTTTCCCTCTCTATTTTGCTCTCCTGGGTGTGGTTCGGAAGTGAAATATATGTATTCCCTTGCCCGAACTCTCTGTGAAAGGGTTAGTATATTGATAGAGATTTTTTGGCTTAGGCATTCGCATATAGTGCATCACGCATTTTACCGCTGGCCCCCGTCCAGGGACCTCGATGGCTGGTCATTGGTCAGGGAGTTCAATGCAAGCATCAACACAATACACATCACACGAGGCGTGTATCTACTTTTGCATCTTCCATCAAAGGTCGATCACGGTCTGCTACGGCTGTAAGTTCCGTATCATTTGCCGTGGGGGTCTCCGGGCATCTTCGGGCATCTCCGGGTATCTCTGTGCCTGCTGTGTGTCACTCTGCCCGCTGATGCAAACTGCCTCTCTCTGCGGAAGGACCTGTGGTCTCGAGCTCTTGTCTGCGGCTGAAATAATGGTCTTTCGGCCCGCCGGTTGTCACATAACAAATAATCGCCGTCTGCTCTTGGTGAAGCAAGCAAGGTAGGCTATATGTTGCAATATGCCCGTTCCAACTACCGGTGGTTGCTGCTCCCCATTGCTGCCCATTCTCATTCTGGAACAAACTGTGCGGAGCGAGTACAAACGCCACACTTTCGGCGTCGCCCGTAGAGTTTACCCGCCACACACCACACACTGCTGCTGCGGCACGTCATCACTCTCGCGACTAAAGCGATACTAAATACTCGAATACTCATCATAGGGTAGGGGTAGTGGCGAGGTTTATGAGTGACGCAGCAGCTCCAAATGCAGCGGGACCCGCCGATGGAGCACCCTCGGAGGCAGCAGAAGCAGCAGCAACAGATGCTGAGGTGACCCAGATCCCACGGCCAGTAGGGACCTCCACGACTGGCGCGTCAGAGAACCGGCTGTTGCTTACAGCACGATGACCTCGGAAGTGTACTCTGTGAAGTGTCCACCGCCGAGGACTTCAAAACACCAGACGGCTACCAGGAGAGGAAGGGGCAAGCGAGGACCCCTTTCTCTTCTATCTGGGAAGAAGCTGCTGCAAACAAACCCCATATCATAGTTGGTTGTGTTTTTTTGTGCTACGCATGTACGAGATCTTTAGAAGCCGAAATCAAACCAATTCTTATGTTTTTCGGCTTATGGAAAAGTTAGTCGTGGGTTCGAGAACCAGGCTGCACACTTTGAAGTGTTTTTTTTCCTGAGGCCTTGGATACTCCCGGCCAGAGTATGGGTGACGAAAGATTCGTGGACCCTGGAACATCCGGCAGGATGTGAGTGGCGGGTGATGATATGAAGCGCAATGAAGATTGGACGGATAGTAGCGCTGGCAAGGGGAGTCACCCTCCTCTGAAGTAAAAGTGACGGGGCTCACGATCCCCACGACCAACTTTTATCGAAGCCGAAATCAAACCATTAGACTAGTAGTCAGCTTAACTAATAGTCTAAATGGTTTGATCTCTGACTACTGTAGTAGTCTATTTGTTTGATTTCGGCTTGTATGGATCTCCGTATGCTACGACGCACACGTCGAGTATCTTGGGTACGCGGAGTGAGTATGCTCGAGTATCTGAGTACGCATGAGCAGTTTTGAAATACTTACTTATGAAATACTCCGCCTGCTGAGTATCGATGAGTATTTTTGAAATTCTTACTCAACGATCCGAGTACGGGCGAGTACGTTCGAAATACTTACTCAAAGGCTGTAACCTAGTAAAAGTTGAGTATATTTGAAGTGAAGGATATACTTAAGGTTGAGTACAATACTCAAGTTCTGAGTGCGCGTGAGTGAGTAGTGTCGAAATACATTCTCAATCTCCAGAGTATTGATGAGTATATTTGGAATACGTAGTCAAACTAACTTGTTGAGTGGGCTTAGTATTATTGGATACTTACTCAAGGGTTATTCTCAAGGTTTAAGTAAAATATTTATACTATTGTGTGTGCCCAGCAAGGTGTCACATGGAGAGCCACTGCATGCCGGCAGGAGGCGTGACAGGAGTGGAGTCGAGTAGTCTGCAGACAGCGCTGTGTGCTGCCTCTTTTTGCGTTCTTCGCGGGCGAAAGACGGGCCAACTAATGGCGATCTCCAGTTCGCCGGTCGCCCCGGTGTATCCTCTAAATCTTCTAGAGGTCAGGTTAGGGTTCGAATTCCGGCGTAATCGAGCTTTTCTTGCAAAGTGAGTTTTTCTGTCGCTTCGGCTCCTGGCCTAGTGGATAGCGCTAGTGCGTGTGTGCACAGAGGGAAGAGAGTGCTGAACTCTTCTCGCATAACAAATCGAAGGAAAGGTACCGCAGGAGGTGAGGGTAGAGAGGGGCTCTTCTGTGTGACCACGGTTTGGAGTAAACGGCACAAGCGCTGTGAGCGCTGACTTGAAGTGAAGACAAAAAAAAAAAAATCGATGGCATTTTTATGGAAGAAGGAGGTTTGGCAGGGCAGAGTGGTCTGGTGGTGCCGCATCGCGGGCAACCCGTGGGTTATTCGGCGCATATCTGAACTGAGGGTCATGAGCAGAAGCAGAAGAAAAAAAGGGCACGGCCACGTTCGTGACGTCATGTGACTTCTTGACAAACGTCGAAAGAAACGACCAGAGGCAATCCGGTCCTACTACAAGCACTTTTTGTTTTGAGGTCAAATGCAGATCTTGATTTCGAACTTGCTCCTGACTTCTCCGCAGTCTTGTCCGAAACACCCTACATGTAGTAGGTACGTGCTTGTGCTCGTCCGACGGTAACGGCAACAAGCCACTTATCACGCCATATCTCACGCGAATCTCAATGAACCTCCGCCACTCCATGACACTCCCAAGGAAAATATACGGAAAGTTCTCGTCCTACAACTTCGATATTTATATTTCGTGGACAACATATAATGCAACTTGTGGAGAGGGCAGGCAGGAACAGACCACCTCCTTTCTGCCGGCGGAGCATCTCGCGCCCTCACATCTGGTGGGTTTTCGACGACTCCACCTGCCTAGTGTTCTGCTGCCACACCAATGCATATTTGCCGAATTTTGAAGGCCAAGGAAGACAGGACGACGGAAGACCGATGCAGCGGCGGCGAAATAAATTATCGCGCGACTGTCAAGTCCCCCTGGTCCGCAATCCAGCAAGATAGGATACCCTGAAAACCTGGCTGTGATGCTGTGATATGATGTGGCCGGAAAAAAAGCAACAAGAAGCGGCAAGCGGGCCTGTACTTCCCTATCCCTTCGTCAAGGAGCTGCCCTTAGCAAGGTGAGGCCACGTACGCCGTAGGATGACAGGGACAGAGGACGCCACGCACGGAACCCATGCCTCTCTCTCTGTCGTGTGCGTAGCGCCTGTCGCGCTTTTTGGTATCCTGGTGGTTGCATGGGCTTCGATTGCGAGATTGGAGAGTTGATGTGCCAGGTACCTGACACAGCAGTAGTTCAAGATGCATGATATTCTTGCAGTCTTGTGAACGAGCACGCCTCTCATGCTGCTTGCTTTGTACATGTGGAGCAACCTTCTCCCATCAACTTGGTTCGCCCGCCCTGTTCACGCTCTAGGCAAGTCGAATCACGATGCCATGTGTGCGTAGACACCCTAAGAGTCAGCCTTCTACATGTAGCAAGGGGCAGGTGAGGGAGGCGGGTAGATTTGCACGACACCACAGAAGAATAAGAATTGCCCGGCAACCACGTATGGACTGCTGCCGAAAGTACTTGAGCCACACACTGAGATGAGCGTCCCCAGCGAGAGACGAAGGGCTGAGCCAGAAACCGATCAGATCGTTTGAGCGGCTTTTGGTCCAGTTTCCTCTCTATGCGGGCAATATTCAGGAGAGAGCGGAGAGTGCGGAGCGGAGGCTTGGAAAAGAAGGGCTGAAAAAATGTCTCTCTTGTTCTGCTTTGTCCGCTTGAGATGAAATGCTAGCGGGCTAGGCTAGAGACGAAACGGTCTGCCCATGAACTACAGTACTCGTGACTGACAGATAGATTGAGGCGTCCGCTGACCAGTTGGTACGGTTTCCATGAGCGGGCGACACAGACCGACGCAAAGAGCAGAGATCATGCTGACGTGCATTTCTATGCGCATCGAAAGCCGTGCACACGATGCAAGAGAGGCACTTAAGCAAGTATGTACAACTGCCGCACACACGGGAACGGAATGACGAGATGAAGGTGACGAAAAATTAAGAATCAGAGTACCGACCGTTCCAAAGACCGAAAAAAACTCCACAGCTCCTCTGTCAGCAGATGTGCTGGATCCCGGCGATTTTTTACTGGTGGTGCATGAAAAAAAAAAGAAAAAGGAAAAGAAGGAAACCCCGGGTTTTTGTAGGAAGAGTTCTGCGATCCGTCACGTGTTTGACTCGACCTTACTCGACCATCCCGCCCTCGATTAACTCGCGAGTTTTTGCACTAGATGCGCAAAGAAAGCCAGTAACCTGGATCGACTGCTGCGAGTCGTTTAGGCACCCTGACACATAGTCCTGTTTGATTTTGACGAGCCACCTCTATGACATACCACATGGCATATCATACACACACACATACATGCGTGTACGGTGTGGCTTTCTCTCTATCCAACAGAACCGCGTGGCCACCAGTATTCGGATAGCATGCAGAGAGCCCGCAGCCCGCACTGCATAGGAGCAGTAGCCGTCGCGAGCAGAGCACAGGACAATGGCGGGCGCTGCCTCGACAGATCATGCACAGAGAGGATGAGAAAAGATCCAAGTTAAAAACTCTCCAACGGCCACAACTAGTCTTGCTTCTAAAACTCAGCAGACCAACCCAGCGCTGCGTCGTGACTAAATAAGCAGCAGGGCAAGGAACCAAGACCTGGTGGGAAATGCGTGTGTATTGGTCTGAAAGGGTTCATTCGGCTGCCAGACTCTCTGTTTAGCCGGGGGGCGCACCCTCTCTCTCTCTGTCATCAGCTGTCGCATCAGCTTCGAGGCTCTCTGGTGGGCGGCGTACGCTCTCTCTCTCTCTCTCTATCTCTCTCTCTCTCTGCTCTGGGTCGCTGTTGTTGCGGCAGCAGCAACCAGCTGCCAATACTCTTCATTGCTGGCGTGGTGACTGTTCTGTAGCGGCTGTGTCTGTGGCAGCTGTGAGGTCTCTTGTTTGAGTGTTTGCGGCCTACGCCACTTATTTATCGAGTGAGACTGTTTCGGTGATGTATTAACTTCACGAGAGGTAGGCGACCGTCCTTCACACGGACGAAAGAGGGAGTGCTCCACACAGAGCAGCTCCAACGCTCCAACAGCAAGGAGGGGCCCCGTGACACATCACGGTGCCCCCTACCAAACGGCAATCTTACCAATCTGAGTGACACCAAATCATACAGCACGTGTATCCAACACCAATGTTCGCAGACTCTCGAACATCTCTAACACGTCAAAGAGTGTTACAGTTGCTGTCGGTATTGGACATTTCCCCCTCCCCCTCTCTTTTCTATATATTATATGTCCAATACCGACGGAACGTGCACCACCAGTAAAAAATCGCCTTTCCTGGATCCCGAAGAGACTGCTGTGGTGGTCTTGACACATGAAGAGTCCGTTCCGGCCTCCGCTCAGAGATGGAAATTAAAAACTACTTTCACCTTCCCAGCATCAGATGTGGCACCAAACTGTCTTGTTGACCCTGTTACCCACGGGGGAGATATCCCTGTGTGCTGCTCGGGAAATCTGGAAGTACAGGTAGCCTTCGCTGACGCTTAGGTTCATTGCTAATCTATCTTTGGCTCTTTTCTTACATCGAGATTGATTCGTTGGGTCATCTTTTGAGTCTTGTGTGCAAAGGTTGGAACAGCTCCTCTCTCTGTGATGAACCAATGGATGAAGAATAGCAGTTTTTTTTACGTGTGAAAGTCCGACACAACGTGAGACCCTACAATGTACATATCGAGACATACGTATTCGTGTGTGAGAGGTGAGAGAGAGACTGGCATAAACTGTTGATGTGTGGTGGATGGGGACCTGCAACTTTCTATTTCACTTCTTATGCATGTTGTTGTTGCTGTTGTTGTTGTCTTCACATTACAAACCGTTCAGGTGTCCCCTTAGTACTTTCGTACTCTCAAATGTCCGTACTGGTCGACTGAGGCGGACACCTTCCGTGGTCACAAGCCTTCTGCCCCCAAAAGGGGGTGGTACACCTTTCTAAAAAATATATTAATGAAACTGAACCTCAGAAGGTGCCTCCAAGGCCAACCAAGGCACGATTTGTTTTTTACCCAAACGAACAAGAAAACTAACCGGGATACAGACGATCGACCCCGTTAAAGAGGGATGAACGAACGAAAGACAAAGAAAGAAGGAAATAATGAAAGACAAAGGAAACAAAAAGGAAGATGGACAGGTCTCCGACGCTCTGTTTAGTAGATCGGAACAACAACAAAATATGCAACTACTAAATGCGACACCAAGCAGATGTCTGATTGACGACGACAACAAAATCACTTCGGGGGCACTGCGAAGGGGGGGGGGGGGTTAACGACACGACGGGAAAAATATGGGGATACGTCCGGCTGATATTCCTTCTATCGCCTCTATCATCATCAGTAGTCAGTCCGGAACACATCTCTCTATACGTTCAGCCATCTCCGTCCTGCTCTTGGTGCGAGCATCACCCCCGGTATGTGCCCATGCATCTCTACCTCGATCGAACGGGAGGTTCACTCCCAACACGGCCCCCCTGGCCGCTCTCCTCCATCGGGACCGCTTCCCTCTGTCAAAGGGATGCGTCGACGCTCTACCCCAGCACCCCGCCGCCACTACTGCTGCTGCTGCGGCCGCCGCTGCTCCGGTCCTCCTTCTCTCCACCACATCTCGTCTCCGTCCACACACGCCTTCTGCGTGGAACATCCTCCAGGATCAAAAGGGTACGACGTACCCCTCTCGAAACCGCAGCTGCCGTCGTCTCCACCCCTGCTGCAGATCTGGCCAGTGCTGTCGCCGCCGCTGCCGGCGCATGCACCTTGGCTGCCCCCCCTGCCTAAGCATCGGAAGAGGCTCTACCGTTTCACGCCGCTACTGTCGACTCCTCTGCTGCTTACGACAGGCTCCTCCAGGATCAAGTCTATGCTTCCGACGCTCTTGCCGCTTCCTCCGACTGTTCGTCACTCGCCGCCGCCGCCGCCGCCGGTGCCGACGCCAATCCACAGACCCCAACTGCTGAAGATGGGGCAGCAGGGCGGATCTCATCGACCTGGTCTGCTGTGGGTGATGGCACAAGTGAGGCTGCTGCTGCTGCTGCTGCTGCTGCTTGCTGCAACGACTTCTTGGGATGTTGCAATTCCGCGGACGGCGAAACTACAACAACGCGGTACGGTCCTAGAATCTGCGGCTTTGTTACCGGTCCTCCAGGAGATCCAACCCATCGCATTTCCGCGCCACTGCAGGTGCTACACGTTATGTTGTGGGTCGCGGGGGAGAAAGAGCGGCGGGGTGTGTCACTGCGTTGAGAAGCTACTTTGGCCGGGGCAAAGACGCCGCAAATGAACCGGCAGCAGCCCCCCTTCTCACCTGTCCACCCGCACCGCTGGTGTAGCCGGCCGCCAGCAGCTGCTGTTGCCGCGGCTGCTGCTGAAATCCACCAGCGCTGCCATACGCCACGCCTGGCAGCTGCTGATGAACCGACAATTTTTGCCAACCCCGCCGTGCGCCTGCTGTTGCTGGAACGGTGACTGCACGGGAACATCTCTGCACGACTGCTGTAGATGATGCTGCTGTTGAGAGAAACCTCCACAGTCCCGAAAAATACCGACCGCCGAAATGAAGATCATGCTGGTCAGCCGTGGGCATAGACGAAATGGCGTGCTGCCGTCCTGGGTTGCTGAGCTCACGCTCATTGTGAGCGCTGTACACGATATCGTCCAGCAGCTTGCGAGTCATCACCAGGTTCATCAGCGTAGACTGTTTCTCGACGTCGAAGTCAAAGGACAAGTTGCGGCGCATCTGGTATGCACAATGCACACGCCGACCGCACGCAGATTAGCCAAGATTTCCTCGAAAGCGATAAAGTAGTCGAGAGGGTGCTGGCCCACTCGCATCTTCAGACTGGAAAGTGACCGCTTGAGGCCTCCTTCCCAGCATCGCTTGTCGTCAAGCAGCGACTGTGCACCTCTCGCGAGGCTCCTTCTACCGACGCAGCCCAAAGCATCTTCGTCTAGTATTTCGCACCTTGCGTTGCCCCTACCAGGTAATCAAGAGCCGCTCGTTCTCATCCAGCGATCAGCACGCCACGAGGAGGGCCATTGAATAGGACCGTGGGGTTGTTAGATCTCTGCAGTGTGTGGGCCAGACCATGGAAATCTCGAACACCTGGCGGAAGAAGACGAAGTTGCCATCGTGTAGACCGGCAGCTTTCTCTCCGCTTCCTCTTCCAACACAAATTATGTGGGCGCCTCCGCCCATGTCTAATCTCCCGGACCTTCCTCCGGGAATACACCCCCCCAGCCGCCGACCCGGATACACTCCCAGCTGCCTTCCCAGCTTTACACTTATTCTCCACCGCCGCGATCCTATCCATCGCTGTTTTGATCCCTTCCCTTAAATCGTCGGCAGACCTTTCCGCTGCTGCCGCCCTCTCCGAGGCATCTTGGTGATGCGACATCGACCGCCAATTGGACGATTAGACTCATCGTGTTGTTAGAAGTCTACGTGCCTTCCCACGGGGGCCACCGTGCCCACCCACGGTAGTATAACAATGTCTGCGGACTATGTTAACCCAGGACCGATGCAGATAACAATCACCTTGATTATCACTCACCCGTGCTCCTTCCAGCACGACATACACAGAGTACAGCTGTGAACACATGTGCGTGCTCTCTCTCTCGAGGGGCCCCGCACTTGAACCCCCAATAGCATACCCCCCACACACATATACCCTCCAGATCAGATCTTGCCCAAAGAACTACCGCTTGCTGGCTTTGTCCGGTCAAGCAGGTCCAAACCTATCTCTGGGGTTCGCAAGACGCACAGAGCCAACTATTGCTGTGTCGTGGTACAGTAAAGAGATGTTGCCGGCACGTACGTCAATCTATAACACCGCTACATATCTAAGTACAACCCGGCTCTATATATTGCTGTCTTGTTTTTTGTGCAGTGAAATTGTCGAGCTCACCGTTGCCGGCGACGCGGACCAATTCCCTTTTCCCTTCCGTCGACATCACCCTCTCCCCTCCCCGAACCTTGCAGCTCGACATTCTCCTTTCTTGACACGCTTCCTAGGAGTATGAAGGTCTTGTTGGCCGTTCTGGTGGGGCTCACCGCTTTGCTGAGCACCTCCGAAGGTGAGTTCATATTGAAATTCAATCTCGAACCTCACCGGCGGGGGGACTATTGGTCTCAGTTTCATATGGGGAGCGGGGCTGAGGAGGTGTACAACAGTGATACGTGGGTGGGGGCGCCTGCAAACGTTACTGGTGGGGGGTGGATGCGAGCTTGTACACGGCATACCCTCATCGCGTGACATTGCGTGTGGCGCGTGCCACGCTGTGTGCATGGTGCATGCATGTTGTACGGGAACGACCATGTCGGGATATATTGAGACATTGCAGGAGCTCGGCCAACTGTTGAACGCTCCCATTTATTCTTGATCGACAGTTCGAGGCCGTGAAAGAACATGCTATTGCTGGCGGCAACTGCCTCGCACGAAGGCCCACTATGAGGCCATCGAGTTGGCGTGGGGGTTGAAAAACGTATCTTCTCTCACGAAGGTGGAGCAGATTGATGAGCAAATCCGGGGTATCACCTGCAGTGCTTGCCCTTCGTTGTCATCACAGCAAGCGGCTGGCACCCGAGGGCGCACCGTCTAGGGTTAATTTTGGGCCCTGCCTGAGGGGAGAACTGTAGAGCAGGGAGGAGGTCCTACCATCGCAAAAAGGGGGGTCCGACCGTAAACAGTGTAGCTACGACAAACGGGCGTCAGTAGAGCAAGGAGGACAAAGACACCAAAAACGCGACCCTCGAGGACCTATGTTGCTCATGATACATCGATATCGGGTCAGTTCGTCTACCCTGGTGGTCGTAGCAGCTGCGGTGCGTTCGACCCAGACGTCAGAGGCCCTATTTATTGTTTTATATCCGAGGTAATATTTCGGAAAACTTGCAGCTCTCAAGTGTGAGGTTGAATCCCCCAGAAGAACAAACAAACCTACACCTGTGTCCTCTGCATGGGCCCTCGGCGTAGAAACAAGACGAACACAGAACCCCGAGAAACAAATTTGTAGGCCGACGCTTGCCCCAAGTACAAACTTTGAGACAATAACCGAGCAGTTTGAAGCAACCAGCACTGAGTAAAAGCATCGAGCCTCATGAAAAATATGCGGGCACCTATTACACTACCGTGTTCCACATTCCGCGGATACCCGCTTCATAAAACCAGCTTCAGACAGGCAACGCCCGCGTATGGGTGGAAAACACAAGCAGCAAGTGATGTAAGCTGTAGTCACCAAATGCGCCGCTGAGGTCGGCCTTGTATGGTGTAGACTACTCCGTACCCAAGTTGTACCGGGGAAAAACGATCAACCTCCCAGCAGGCTTCGACTCCGTGCCATCACGCGACAGCCGACGAACACAACGACCTCTCCTTTGGATAATATTGTAATATCTTGATACAGAACCCGCCATCGACGTCGACTAAATGGGAGATCGCGGCAGCAGTGTTGTGTCATGCTGGGGCATCACAAATCTACCGTGAGGAGAATCGCCGCCCTGTCCACGGAGAACGCCGCCTTCCTACCGCAAAAGGTAGATTCGGCAATATCCGAATTGGAGCTGTTCGACCATTTCTTGATCGATCTCACCCTCCACCTCCCCCCGCCTGCGCTGGATGCTCAATTGGTCGCAGCGAACTCCTGCTTGGATCCCACCGATACCGACTACAGATGCGAGATCGATGCTGAGGGAACCCTGTGAGTCCCCCCAAGCAATGGCGTTTTCCCGTGCCAAGGCGAATAATGGTAGTATTGGTGGATGGCAAGGTTCCGCTGTTAAAAAACGGCGTGGCCCCCCGTATAACGTTCCAGACAGGACGTCGGGCGTTGCAAGAACCCCATTGTTGGGTAGAATGCCGCTTTTTTCTCCGCAGGCGGTGTTTGCACCTACCTGCAATACAACCGATTGCGAGTTGGTAGGGAGCATTCATGAGGCAAGAGTGTATCCCACACGTCCACTCACACGATGGGAAAATGCCGACAGGGTAAGAACTGACTCGTGCTTTGGGATTTTTGTGATTTGGGCCCAGGGATCTTTCCGAATGCCTTGTAGCTGATGACGACGTCGACAGCGGTGACCTCGCGGCGTGCTTGGATGCCGCCGGAAGGGAAAGTGTCATTTTCCTCGACCTGGGTCGCAACGACCTCACCACCCTCCCCGATGGAGTATTTCTGGATCTCACGTCAATGGAAACCCTGTAAGTAGGCACATGATGCGCCTGTCTTTCGCGCGTCCTGCTTGTGAGGATGATGTAGCTCACCCGCCGACACTATGTGCACCATGCTGAATCCCTATCGCAACGAACGGTGTTTGTGATGAAGAAATGTTTGGCCGCCCTCTTCTACTCTGCGACCCGTTTCCCGAGGGCTTCCTCCCGCTAGATCGTGGCGACCAGGACGATGTCATTGCCGAGAGACCGGGGGGAGATTGATCTTGTCCAACCGCGGACGCATGATTCTTCCAGCTTGTTGCAGTCGCCCTCCTGCTGTGTTGCGAAAGTAATGGTTGGCTCGGTTAATTTTGGACGGAAGCCGTACCCTCGGCGGCGAAGGCTCCCGAACGCCGGCTGCAGTTGCACGTTTTCTGTGCATCTCTGTTGAGATTACATGTACCACCGTGCCTTGTACCTGGCAAGATACGCTATAAACATGGAGAGATTCGCAGCTAACTTGTCGCCTCCGCTCCGCTTGTCACGTGCCCTCAACAACGAAAAGCCACATCGATGTCAACGACTTCGGCAGCCTGCCGGACGGCATTTTCCAGGATCTCCCAGCCCTCAACAAGCTGTGAGTAGGGAAGGAAAAAAGAACGAATTAATCCTTCGCCATGACCTTGCTGTGCCCGTCTTGACAAAGGCATATCGTGACGAAAGCAAACTATCGCTCCTCCGCTGAATCCACAAGGCTGATGATGGTTGTCTCCCATGGATGGGAAGCTTGTACCGAGGTCGGCATGCGGAGGAAAATACTCCGTGGCGTTGGCAATGAATTCGATCGTATGTTTGTGCGTTCGAATGTCTGCTGTGTTCTCGGTTGGCTGAACGTGAATCTTTCATGGCCATGTATGAGCGGTTCGTCTCTGCCCCGCCGCTTGTCGCGTGATCCCGACAGTGATATCTGGAACAGCGGCCTCACCAGCCTGACGGACGGAACATTCCAGGGTCTCACGACCGTCACAAAACTGTAGGTTGGCGTGGGACTCGCTTTTTGCGTGTCTAGCAGGCGTATGACTTAACTAGCACTAGCACTGTAGTGACAACGGCCTATCGTGACACAGGAACGCTATTCACCCCTTTGCTGCATGCGTAAGGTTGATAGTTGCCTCCGTTAACTCGGTGGGATCATTGCTCAGGTCATGACGCGGCGCAAAGGACTCCGTGACGTCGCCAGTACATGTCCCATGTGCATTCAAACGTCGTGTGGGCATCTAGGATTTTAGTAGGCTGGCCTGACTTGTCGGTGGCACTCTACTGCTGCTAGAAGCAATATCTGCTATTGTGTTGTCTCTTCTGCGCTGATCCCTGATTCCCTGGACAACCCCAAACGCCAGATACCTCCACGACAACGAGCTCTCCTACCTCCCCAGTGGAATATTCCAGGATCCCAGTGCCCTGGAAATTATGTAAGTAGGTGTTCGACGCGTCTATCGCGTGTTTTCCGTACAGTGTTGAGCTCATTCTGCGTTATGGCCATGCTGTGTCGCGTGACAATGGCACGCCAATCGAACGCCGCTGTGTTGCGAATGATCCATGGTTCACCCGTTGGGTTAGAATGACAACCTTGCCCCGGTCGTGACGCGGTAGCGAGGACTCCGTGACGTTGCGGGTGCACCCGATCGAATGTCGGCTGTGTATTCGAACATGGCCTGTGCATTAGAATGTTCTTGGTGCCCTGGCCACGCCTTGTAGTTGGGCATGCACGGGCGTACGAGGTGCTTCAACGCTTGACGTGTTTCCTCTGCCCTGCTCATCGCGTTCCCTCGACACTCAACAAAAACAAAAGCTGGCTCAACGACAACGTGCTCGCCACGCTGCCGGAGGGGGTGTTCGAGGATCTTACGGCCCTAACTTTTCTGTAAGTCCGTGTAGGAAAAGATATGCGGTGGAAGTTTTCTGCATGTCCTCAGTCAGCGCCACGAACGTTCACGTTCATTGGGCGGGACCACGATTCCTGTAGTTCGAGAGGTTCCTAATTTTCTGCAATTTGCGGGAAAAGGTTGGTGGTCTCCCAATGGAAGCGAACAACAAGCATATCCACTTTCTTGGTTCTGCCTGGTTTGCGGTTTGCTCAAACGTGCCATGCTGCTTACTGTAAGGCGCTTTCGAATATTCTTGAGTGCTCACCCTCCCCGAGACGTTTGCGTGTTTGCTGCGGAAAAAGACTAAGGCCTTACCCTGGACAAATTAGTGGAATAGTACCGTTTGGTGTGTTATCCTATATTGTCGCGGATCGCATTTGCCTTGCGGTGCCGATGGCAACAGCCATCGTCCTAACCTCGTTCATTCCATTTTTTCGGATGTCCCATTCTTCGTGCATTTTCTCCGTCCCTGCGCCGGCGAACCGTTTATGGGTTGTGCACTTAGGGACTTAATCGGAAATCCTTTGGAATGCTTACCGGAAACAACCCTGTAAGTACCGTCGGAGGCTTATCGATCATGGGCTGTATCAATGTCACAGCTAGAGAGTGCGCGTGTTTGGGAATCTGACGAGCGCCTTAGAAGTGGCCAATATCCTGCCAACTACGGCTCGTTGCCTCTCAAGACATGTGGATGTATGTACTACGAGGGGTGTCGGCTATTTCATGAGACTATCCGACCGGCTTTACCTTTCAAGGGTGGTGTAAAGGTTTGAACTCGTACGGAAGCGAATTTTGATGTGGAACACGTGAGCCCGCGACCGGACTGGTGAGTTGTCTTCAACAACAGCAGATGTTTCGTTGGCATTTTTTTTTGCCTTTGCATGAAGTTTTCCTTCAGTGCCCTGCTCCTCGTGTAATTGCCCCATGGAGAGCCTTCATTGATGCATGCATGGCATCTTCGCCTGATCACCGCCTCGCTGCATGGACAATGCCCCGCATCTTGCTCACACCCTGGCAGGGCGGCAGCTGCTGATGATGATGCCGACGGACTCCACGTCGACACATACGGCACCGAATGTGGTGAGTGATAAGTCCACACAACGAGCGCGCGAACAAACCTCTGACCCTCGGCCAGGGTTCACATTTTTCAAGCTGTTGCCCTCGCGTCCTGCTCCACATATGTTCCGGGTAGAAAGTGTCACTCTTTCGGAAAGGGTGACCAGTATGTTTAAGTCCGCGTGAGAGTTTGATTTTCGCTCAGTTTTCCAGCCGCGGCATCCCGCCGCAGCCCTTCGAAGATTCGACGAAACGTCGAACGCGGGCGCCCCTCTGTTCCAGATTCGACATGTGGTTCAGAGCCTTAGGTTTTCATGTCGCAGATTGTTCTCAAGGGTGATCGGCTGCAGTATCACCACTTGCATGATCCCAAGAGTTACCGGGTGAGGGATGGGAGAATGCTCTGTTTGGACCGAGATATGTTGGTTGAGGCATCGATGCTTTCTTCATCGCAACCAAAGGTAATGCCCCATTGCACTGATCCGCATTGAACGTTTTCCAGGGTGTGCTGTTACGGGCGTGACCAACGTTTGCGGCGCTGAAACCTGCACTCCTGGACCTGTCGGATACACTTGCGGTAAGAGAGCGAAGTCCCGAACAAGGCGGCTAGTCACCTTTGAGGTCCATCCTCTTCATTCAGGCGCTTCAGCAATTTGGCGCGTGGGTATTTTTTCAAAACGAGCTGTGGCATGGATTAGATCCGCCCAGATTCGCCGGAACATGAAAAGTTGCCCCATTTCCAAGTGCTTCTGCACGAGAGATTCGATTTGCCCGCGAAATACTACTCGGATGACCTCCGATATTTGTTTTCATTTGTCTGCTAGTACACTCCTTCTTCTGGCACCCCACCGATGGTAGGTGTCAGTGCCACCCTCCCAAGTAGGCACGGGTCGCGGTGCCCTGGATAAAGAAGCTTGAGAGTCTTGCGGTGCTTCCCCCCCCCGTAGGTGGCACATCGCAATTTTATCTTGTGTATCCGAAACAAGGCAGGCAATTCCAAGCATCAATAGCCTCAAATGATACAGACCTGCCAAGAGTGGCTTTCCCAAGACCACACAGCCAGTGCAGCTATCCAGTCCCACCAGGAGGGAGGTCTATCATACGTGGGTATGATTGCCTTCCCGCTCATCCGGCTCGGACCCGGGTGTACAGCTGTGCTGTCGATGCTGGTACGCGGCTTGTATGATGATATGGGCTGGTGCAACTCAACATTTTCCGCTAACCCACCTCCGATCTGGTAACTCGCAGCGGCGACCACACCTGCACCTGTACCGGAGCCCACACCTGCACCTGTACCGGCGCCCACACCTGCACCTGTACCGGAGCCCACACTTGCACCTGTACCGGCGTCCACACCTGCACCTGTACCTGCACCTACGACTGCACCAACCCCTGCTGTGGAAACGGGAGCACCTGCACCGGAGCCTACACCAGAACCGGGACCGACTCTAGGCCCTATTTTGGCACCCAACTCGAGAGGTAGGCTTGCTGGCTTGGTGCCGCTCTTGCTGTTCAGTTCGCACTTGCGGGCCCATTCTCTCTCGTTCAAAGGCCGCGTTGGCTTTCATCCTGCCTGGGTTAGGATAGCACACAAATTGGCTGCTGGTACCCTCGCTTGCACAATCAGTCATACCTCGCTGGCTTGGTGTCTCGCAGGGGCGACAACGTCGGCGCCGAGGGCTGTGGCTGCACCTACTCCTACGCTGGAAACAGAAGCACCTGCACTGGGCGCAGAGGCGACCACGCCGGCGCCCTTTGCTGTTGTTGCACCTACACGTCCGCTGGAAACAGAAGCACCTACACCGGGCACCGCTACACCGGCATCTGCGCTAGCACCTACGTTAGCACCCACCTCGAGCTCAAAAGGTAGGCTTTGGTACTTGGTTTCGCTGCTGCTTATGGGTTAGACATGCCGGAGGGGTTATGCTACCGTGTCCCCAAGAATATGAAAACACACACGAAGATTGCTCCAATTTGTATGGTTATACGGTGGAAACAGGTCGTGTTTCAATTTACTCCGGTACCCTTCACATAACGTGATTGTCAGGGTGGAGGGTAATAAAGAAGATAATAATATAAATCTATGGTAATTGGACTGCAGGTACGCCTCACCTGTAGAGATGACCTAGCTACATCTGGGAGTCGATATTGTTCCGAAGGACAGTCACGCAGCAGCATAGCTCCAACAGGCGAGTACCAACATCCAATAGCAGCACATTGCGATCCTCGCAGCTCGATAATCGGCATATCAGGTTCAGCACTGACAGTGGCGGACGATCGGGTGGGCGATGGCACGGGTATGGCTCAATTGATCTTTCGCTACAGTGGGCGGTGACCTGTTTCGTCGAGAAAACGCCAAAGAGGAGGCGTTTGTCCAACAGGGGTGGGTCAAGAGACCAGCCCTGAGCCATTCCATCAGACTGGATTGGGGGGGGCTATTGGTCTGGCCAAATCCCCTCTCATGTCAGTCTGCGCCCTCCGGATGCCCCAGACCACACCGGGTAGCCACCATGCAATTTTCGAGAACCGGTTGAGACGTCCAACCGGAACAGTAGCTGTCTCGAAACCTCTACATCCGGCTTCATGTTCCTGCCTAAAGTCGAAGCTTCTTATTAAAACCCACGTTATCTTATGTTTTTTCACTTCCGCCTTTCGAGCGGCCTTTTCGCGGCCATCTCGCCTTCTCCATCATAGCCCCCATAATCCGCTCTTTATCTCGGTAATCTCTCTCGCCAATCCTGCAACATGTTCTCGGAACTAGGGTCGACTTCGGACTCTACGCCCATCGTAGCGGGGGTAATCTCCGCCGTTGCCGGTGCCGCCTTCATTGCACTCGCGGTCCTGGGCAAGCGTCGACGAGACACAAGGCAGAAGGCCGCGCAGCCCCGCTCGGATCCTCCTGCTCCCGGCGGCGGCAACCTCGAGCAAGGCCTTGGGCCCGTCCCGCCCCCTTCCTACACAGCGGCGCTTGCCTTAGCAAATGGAGGCGACGACGACAAATGGCCTTCCGCACAACACAACGAGGCATCGCCACCCCCGTTCGCGCCGGCGGAAGGGGTCGGCGATGGAGACATTGTTCCGCGGTCAGCACCGACAGCAGTCGTCTTGGGTGCTGTCGAAGATCGTATTGCCGCCGGGCTCGGAGGCGAGGGAAGTGCGGCAGTTCTACCCTCAGCGGAAAAGTCGACGACGGACACTACGTCCACCGCCACACACTCCACCGCAAACGTTTCCACTCACGAACGGGCAGAACTTGCCGTGTTTCAACAAAGACAAGACGTGCTGGAGGCCGCTCCGGTTGCTAGCGGATCTCGACCAGTACCAGCCTCTGGCAGCAGCGGTGGCGTCGGCGGCGTCGACGTCGGCGTCGGCGGCGCCAGAGAAACCTCGTCGGCGGCCGACCGCCAAAACTCGGCGGAAGACCTCGGGCTTGGCCACGCCGTCTTGGGGGCGGCACAGGAGCTGGCGCGTCATTGCCAGGTCCCCGGCATCAGTGAGGCGGCGGCGGTGTTGTGCATCATGGCAAACCTCTTCACGGACAACCGTGAGAACGACCGGGAGAACGATTCAAGGCTGAGGCAGTGCCGCTCGATCGTGATGGCGCTCAAGCGGGCCGAGAAAGTGGTTGGCAAGGTGAGCTAGCTGACAGCGTCCGGGGCTTCGTCGGTTGTCCTTGGTCCGGGCGTCCTGTACAATAACGGCATGTCATGGGTTCGTTTCTACGTTCCGCTTGGCCGGGTGTACTACATAGAAGCCTCTCAGGTTCTCTCATGATGATAGTACATGTGCGGCACCGCGGGGTGCTACCGTGGCCTCTTTCCATGAATCCCAGGGTGGCGACACAACCGGGGAGGTGGCACGTGTCTTGATTGAGGACGTGCACGACGCCATCTTCGATCTGGTGGAGCTCATAAAAACGTTTCAGAGCAAGAACAAGCTCTCAAAGCTGTTTCTGTCGACGCTGTTCAAGCGGCGCAAGGACGAGCTGGATGCCGTCGTGGACCGAGCAATCACGCGCCTGCAGGTGAGCGGATCAATCCCATTTTTACTCTTTCCGCGCTGGAACTGTGAAGCTTCCGCAGGGGGTGTGCTCCATTTTGAGCCGAACGCAAGGTGCATAATTCCCTTACCTCGAGCGCTTGGACCCTCAGTTTCGCACGGGCGGTGTGCCTACGATCGGGCTCCAGGCGGCAGTCGAAACGGTTTGACGATGCCTCACAGAGGTACGGCCGAGCACAAATTGGATACCGTCCTTGGCTAAGGCGAACCACCTCAAGTTGGCTTGCCAGCAATAGACGGGTCGACATCGATTCATTTCGAAGGCCGTTCGTTGAACGTGAATCGAGTTTGGGACTCTCCGTTGTCTTTGTACCATAGATTGGTGCTGACTTCGCAGACCTGTTCGTGATTCTTCCCATACCTTCCAGTTGGGCCTGCAGCTGCAAATGGGGCACGACATGGGTTCAGTCAAGGATAGCATGAAGTCAATGGAGGACGACGTCAGCGCAGTCAAGCATGGCGTCAAGGCAGTGGAGGAGGGCATGAACCTCTACAGGCAGGCAAGCCAAACCATTTCGTGCAAGCAATGAGTACATAGGCCGGCGGCTCGGAATCTGATGAAGGTTTTCATGGTGGGCTGGGTCGTTCGACTGCTTCGTGAGGAAGGGGAGTGGCCAAAAGGTTACAGGGTTTTCGGTGCCTGGTTGCAGAAAGGTTGCGATGCGCAGTTTCATTCGAAAACTAGTACCGATATACTGAACGTTTACGGCCCTGATCCCTCGCTCACTTGTGCGGCCACGTGCGACGTGTTTGGGTGCAATATTATTATAGGGTTCTAACGCGGAGTCTACTACATCGGAGTCCGTGGCGGAGGCTCGCAGCATACGGCGGAAGCGCAAACTTGACCAAGTCGAGATTCCTGAAGACCAACTCTTCATCACAACCGATCTGTTGGGAAAAGGAGGCTTCGGCGAAGTGTACCTGGCCGATTACAACGGCCACAACGCAGCGGCGAAGGTCTGCGATATGGTTTCTCTATTGTTAAATGATAGATAGTAATCATCCTTGATACAGTATTTACTGCTCAATATCAACAACACTTGCCACTAAGACCAACTTCACTAAGGCCACCTCTCAACAACGGGCGGAACGGTGGGACGTCAACAGTCATGATAATATTTTCCTGTGTTTTGTTTTCATGCACGGCGAGGCAACTACCCCCGGTGGCGTTCGTATCTAGGACATACCCGGGTTGATCGACCACGACTCGGGCTGCGACCAGCCGCACTCACCGGCATGTTTTGATGGGCTTGTGTTCTTCGTAGAACCCCATCGACGGCGTTAGTCAAATGGATGACGTGCCGAATCTAAGCACGAACTCCGGACGGTACCGACGCCGGCCCGCCACCTATCACCGTGTAGCCGGTGTTTGATTGTTTCGGTGTTCCTCAGTGTAGCCCAAACTGCTGATTGTACGAACTTTCGTTGTTGGGCTGCGGCGTTCAAACCAACACAGGTACTATACATCGCCCACGACTTGGGCGCTCTCGACGAGAACCAAAAACAGCGGGAGACGAGGCAGCGCAAGGGGTTCCTGCGGGAGCTGGAGGCCATGATCCGCCTTCGGAGCCCGAACACGGTCAACGTCTATGGGGCGGTGACGTCTCTGTCGGACCGCATGGTGCTCGTCATGGAGCTGCTCCCCAACGGGGACCTCCTCACGTTGTTGAGGAGGTCTACGAATCCCCTCCCCGAGGAGAAGTCCAGACAGATCATCGGAGACATCTGCGCCGGGATGGCCTTCCTGCACGGCAAGAACACGGTCCACGGTGACCTCAAGTCGGCCAACGTGCTTCTCGACGGCGGCGGCAGGGCCAAGGTGAGAATAATGTCGGTTGAGTTGGGTCATTGTCCAGGCTCGGGTCTCACGTTTGAGTTTGCGTTGTGCGCTGGTGTGTGTTTCGTTGGCGATAAATAGCAACCTTGTTTTTTGGGCGGACACTTAGCCTATGACTATCTTGTTCGGAGCGCGAGCTGATGTTACGTTGGTCCGGAGACTGACCCCGTACGGAGGCGTACCGGTGCAGAGTTCATACGCCATAGCACATGTCATGTTCGGTCAAATACTGGTTATCCTGGGTAGGGTAGCGGGTATTAGCATTCATCTTGATCGCCATACCCTACGCAACATTTCGATAAGTATGCACCGCTGCTGGTTGGCTGGATGTTCCGGCGAAGCTAATTCTTGTGCTTTACGATGATTTCGTTTTTTCTTTCCAGATCGGCGACTTCGGCACGTCCAGGTGGTCGCAGCACACGAACTCCACAGGCCTGGCCACGTACACCACCAAGGCCAACCAGAGCACTCAGATGAGCCTCGCCTGGAGCGCACCGGAGGTACGCACGAAGTTTGCCACGCAAACCAGGTTGGGTTCGGACAAGCTTCCGTTGCAGTGCTAAACTCCTGTTTTAGCGCAATCGCGTCGTCTGCTGCGACGTAGGGTGCGCCTTTATGAAACTCGTGTACAAGGTGTTTGTGGGGCTCTACCGTAGTCCACCTGTTCACACCCACTATGAACTCGCTGTATGTAGGTCGACATGTGCCATCATTCGTGCGAAAACGCTCCTTCCCCCCTTGGACGAGGTCATTTTCCGCCTCTGCCCGTTCACCCCCGTTGCCCCATGTTTTGCTGCCGGGGTTTTGGTGGTAGCCCCGACATCATGTGTGAAAGCCGGGAATGTTGTTGCTCCGTTGTGTCTCCGATCCCCCGCCGTGTGGCTTTGCGGTACAACCGCAGGTGCTCGAGTCAGGCGGAAGCACCTACAAGAGCGATGTCTACAGCTTCGGGATCGTGGTTTGGGAGGTGCTCTCCAGGGAGCTACCGTGGGCGAACAAGACACGCCCTCGTGATATCCTGTCGGCGGTGTTGATGGGGATCCGGCCTTCGTTCCATGTGGACGCTCCTGCCGACATCGTGGATATCGCTAAAGCCTGCTGGGGTGGGGAGCCCGAGGAGCGCACTACGTTCAGTGCCATCTTGGAGGGCATGGACGCAAAGGGGTGGCGTGAGTAGGCTCCTGTACGGGTCCGTTCACAACCGTTCGAAATGCGCCCATAGGGAGTATTTGACCGAATACAGCAAATCGACATAGTGCACCAAACATGGCACCAACAGCCATGGTGTTGGATCAACTGCGGGTTGCTGATGCGTCATATCGTGCCGTATGTGTTACCCTGATCCTCTTTCGTTATTGATTTCCCTCTCTGCTTTTATTTTGATGTATCTGTCGAGGTATTCTCGCGCTGGGTCGATGGTCTTGTTCTGGTCATGGTAACCTTGACGCTGGGTTCTACAATTAGGTATTGTTCGGACGGTGGGCTGTTTAATCTAATGCCCTTTGGAAATGCACTTGGTTGGCCAAACCACAGAGCATTAGTGTTTTGCGTTCGTTTTCTCTCTCTTTGGTGTCGTCTCAGGCTACCTAGGCCTTGGCGAATGCGTCCCCAACTATATTTTCTTATGTGAAAGTGTATGGTATGTCGGAGTAGTGGTGTTTCTTCCAAATAACACAAACGCGATCCTTGTCGCACCCGACACCAACAACCCTTCATTCGACCCCTACACGATGTACCCCAGAGGTGGGAACGAAGAGGCTATTGCTTTTTCTCCCATACGTTCGGCAGCAGCAGTGTCGCCAAGCAGCTGAGCTGCAGGAAAGGAATCAGACTCCTCGAGGACCCTCGGCGGAGAGTCCAGACTTTTGAACCCGGTGGATTTCACGTTGGTTCACGCGAAAAGCGGGGCATTCTACTGTGGTGAGGACGGGAGCGTCGGGTTGCTTCCTGCCGCTGTCTTTCTACCGACCACCACGGAACTCCCGTCCCGGCGGAGCAGGGCCTGCTCGCAGGTGGAGTTTGTCCAACGGTGTACAATGTCCGATCATACTGTACCTAGCTAACCCATTCGTGCCGGTGCTTCGTGGAAGCCTGTTCTCATTCTCGGTCCTACTCTGTCTAGAAGAGGTGGCTAGGGTTTTGTGGGTTGCCAGCCTCATCGACGTCATGAATGTCCATCTCCTTTCACTTCATAGCTCGAACGTCCACGAGGAGCATCGCCTTGTACAATCCGCGCATCGGCACCCTCCTGACCAAAGAAAAAGCGAAAAAACATAATAGCGTCTCCCCGCACCCTGGCATACTTCATTCGCTGTTCATGCATCAGTTCACTTCACTCTGCCAGGCCAGGTGCCGTACTTTGAAACGTGATGCTAGCCTCGATTCGGTAGCTCTTCGTTGCAGGCACGTCTTCAACCCCACATTCCCCGCCCGCCACAGGAATCTATGAGTACACTTACAGCACCGCGTCGCTTTCAGGACGACAGCGGAGCGGTGGGTATGGACGTTTCTCCAAGAGCCGGTTCGCTCAAACCTAAATGAGCGGCACTCGACTCGACCTAGACGTTTCAACAGGGGCAGCTTCGTTTGAATGAGATCTCGACGAACCTGGCATCCTAATGCATCCGGGGGATATTTCGCTCTCACTGTCACTGAACATCGCCCATTTCTTGGCACGGTGATGCAATACGTATAGATTTGCTCCGTAGGCGCTACGCACGTCTACTGCAACCCAATTGTTCTCAACAGACACCAGCTGGTGTACATACGAACGTTCCACGACAAAGTTTCAGAGGAAGCAGTGGGTTTGACGGCGAGGTCGTGACAAGCCAAGTTGAACGCTACATACAGTGTCGTACCCACATTGACGCGCCAAGACCCAGCTCGGGCTCGGCACGCCCGCGGGTATCATCTACCTGGCCGTGCGTCACCCGGGGGATACAGCAGTATTGTAGATGTTGACATCGATGGAACGACACACTCCCGAACGAAATAGCAACAACAGAGCATCGACTGCAGTCTGAGTGTCACGAAAAGAACCGAAATGAGGTTTCAAGACTCTTAACAACCAGACACATCTACTTATGGTAGGGTATTCCCCCCGAGCGAAAGTCAGCGGTTTCCTCGTCCCACCACTACTAGAAGGGCTGGAGGAGGAACCCGATTGACCCGCCTCTCCGTCTGCCCCGGACGAGCATCCGCACGCTGCGTCGGCAGGTGCTCGAGGTATTCCCCTTTGCTTTCCCGGGTTGTCCTTGCGCTTTCCTGCTCGTTTCCCGTCAGAGTCTCCTTTCCCTGTGGAAACAGTGCCAGAGGAGGGCAGGGCTTCATGGCGGCAGGCTCTGACAGCGTCGCAACTGCTGCACCCGTCGGTTGTCAGAGCACATGAGCAACGCACACTTGATTTACAGCATTCTCGGCCCACCGACAAAGCCCGGACGTGTCTTCGTCGTGACGGCTTTCATTGAGTATGTTACTTTTGCCCAGGCTTTCGGGTGTGCGGAGCGGCAGCACCATCGCTGGACATCATCCGTTTCACACACGACCAGCGCCTTCATTCTACGGGGATAGCTGGTAGTTTCCCACCTTTTCATGATGCATACCATCCTTGGGTGCCGAGAGACAACCGTTTGTTTGGGCTACATACGTATGTAACTCGTGCATTTTCCGCTTGTGTGCCTGTCTGTCTGCTTGTGCGAGCATACCTGAGGGCGTGCAAGTGCGTACTATTTTCCCTTGGTACGACTTAGTGCGGAGTACAGCGTAGTTTCAGACAACTTGAAGAACCGCCCAGTTCACATCGATCTCAGCGGCGTACTGGTGGTGTACAATAGTCCCACCATTTACCATTTGAAGTGAGATCAATATACCCACATGTGCGTTTCCGTTGATCGATGGTTCGCGTGGCTCAGTTGCCGGGAACAGGTCGGCCATGACGGGCCGAAGATGTGAAAAAAACGTTAAATATCTATGTGAAGTGCGTGCTTTTGTGCTTGTCGAACGGTCACGGCAACGAGCGACACGCGCAATCACGCGAATCTTATGAATCTCCACGTCCATGACACTCCCAAGGAAACGTACACCAGTATTTTCGAGTCAGTTCTTCCCCTCAGATAGTATGGGATCAAACAGTTGCATCACCTCCCGCAAGGGTTGGTGTGTCCACTCCGTCGTGAATAGGAAGGGGACATGAGGGTAGTGTGTCCTCCACAAAAAGCGAGCCCTGATTTTCGATAAACGAACCTGTTCTGACCTTCGGTTGAAAACTAAACTGAAAACGTCCGGGTGGGTGGGTGGTGTCTCAACCAGAGGTCCTGTTCTCTTTCTGTTTTCCTGTCGAAGCAGGGTGCCAAGTTGAAATTGAAAAGTGAGAGCTGATCTCGTCCTCTCACAATATTGGCTCTTTATATACGCATCTGGAAACGATATAATCTTTTTCTATTTTGGTTTTTGAAAACACCAGTATTTTCGAGTCAGCTCTTCTCCTCAGATAGTATGGGATCAAACAGTGGCATCACCTCCGGCGGCTGGTGGTTCCTCTCCTCCCTCACTTCGAAACCTTGTCTTACGTAACTCCACCAAGGTATCGTGAAATATCCCATACTCAAGAGGTGAACATGTGCTGCACTCCCTGCTTCCATATTCATCGAACGCATCGAACAATAAATAATCATACAAGGTTTTCGGCGGCTTACGCCGCCACGCCGAATGGAGCGAGTCCCAAGGTACACGGGGACGGTACGTGTGGGGATCGTGGAAGGTTAAATGGAAGTTATGTGTCGTTGAGGATGCCCGTTTGACGTGCATGTCTGTCTGTCGTGTGACAACATGATAGATGATCGCTTCAGTCTTGCCTCCCATGATCATGTTATTGCCCATAAGATCTTTGAGTGTAAGATGAAGAGCTTCGACAGAAAAACGATGGCTCATTGGGATTTCGTCCCAAACAATAAGGTCACACTTCCGTAATACTTCTGGTCGTTGCGATTCAGCGGGGATATTGCACGTCGCACCGCTGACATTCTTTTCATCCAGTGGTAGTTTGAACATGGAGTGCGCAGTCCACCCCCCAGGTAGTTGGAGACCTGCGATACCCGTACTCGCAACACAGAGCACTAATTTACTAAGTGATCGTAGGTGGGCGCATAGTACGCTCTCCGTGTATGTCTTTCCCGTTCCAGCAGGCGCGTCTATCATGAATACGTTAGACGAACCTGATGACACGCTGGTAACGACGCTATTATCGTGAACATGACGTTGCTCGGCGGTGAGGTTTGGGAGATGCTCGGCAACAAACATGCGCATTATCTCCGGATCAAACATGTGCTTGAAACGCAAGTGCTCAGTGTCTAGATGGATTACGGCAGGCAGTCCAACGACTACGTTCGTGCGTCCATGGTGCTGTAACCCGAGATCGATTTCGCGAAGGGCTGCGTTATCGGCATCGAGATCGGTCATGGACATGCGCAAATCTGCCGTGAATTCCTTGTTGAAATGCTCCCAAAGAAGTTTTGCAGGTGCGCCGTCAAGAATGAGCGTAACAAATAGAGCTGGCGCAACTGTCTACCCGTCCGTGTTGAAAATAATGGCCTCCTCTAGGCATACTTTGTATTCTTCGTCGTGTTTGATTATACCCATTGCTCTAGCGGCGTCCTGAAAGGTGTCATACACAATATCTTCGTGAGTTCGTATTTGCTGAAATGATCTTGCGGGCTTGTGGTGTAGAAGTAAGCGCAGGTAAAAAACGTCACCTTTATCAGGGGACATGGCCGACGCACGTGCGACATGCTTTTCAGATGAACGTGGCGTAACAAAATTGCGGTATGTATCTCTATAGTATACGCATTTTGTGCGCGCTTTCTCCTTCTTGACTATGTACATTTCGTTGTAGTCGAGATACGTAAGCATGTTGAATTCCGCTTGGTGCTGGGCGGAGTAGACGCAAAAATGTTGCGCGACGCCATACTCGAGTGCGCGAGAGAATGGTGTGGGATGGAGTGGGAGCTTGCGCGAACGGCGCGAGGGCGCGCGTGAGCGGGAGCGAAAACCCTAAGAAGATCTACCGAACCTCACCGCCCGTTGACCGAACGCCGATGGATTCCGGAAAAAGATTCCGGAAAAAGATATTCATATATATGAGAAAAGATAAAGATATGTTACTCATTTATATGAGAAAAGAGCCGCACACACACACGTGCAAAATATGTGTGACACACGTGTAAAAATTATAGGTATTATTGTGTGTGTGACAGAGGGAGATAGAGAGAGACAGAAAAAGAGAGACAGGAAACAAATGAGAGAGGGAGAAGGCAGAGAAAGACACACAGACAGACACAGAGACGGAGAGAGAATCACAGATGATACAGACAGAGAGAGAACGGGGAAAAAATAAATATACCTGGTACCATAATAATAAAGTTGTACCGCCCATTCGGACTCTGGTTCCGATTCTAATTCCGAGAGAGGAGAGAGAGAAAAAGCGCCGAAGAGAGAGAAAGAGAGAGCGTCTCTCACGAGAGAGCGTCTCTCACGACTCGACGGACGGCGAGACAGCGAGACCGGTAGAGAAAAAAGAAGGCAGAGACGAACGGAATGGCATTGGAGAGGACGATAGAGCACATCGGACCGAAGGAACTGCGCTCCGAGCGTCAAAATTGCGAAAACTGCAAAATGCGAAATGCTGGCCTGTCAGCGCTCGAACGGTCCGGACTGCACTCTGAAACCAAGTGAATAAGCGTGGTGGCCTGAGAGCGCTCGAGAGAGCGTTTCCCGGCCCGGAGAAAATGCTGCGATTCTAGGAAAAAGATAAACGAAATAATTGTTAAATATTTGATGTCTTCCATCAGAGAAGAGGACGCCCACTAAAAGCCGCCAAAGACCGTGTCTGTTCACTCAAAGGACTCTCATTCAGCTCACGGTACTGCTCCTCGGTGATACCATCGACCATGTCGACGCTTTCCGCTCCTGGGGCTACGACCAGCATCAATCGCATATCTATGCCGCCATGCGGTCCTGGGGTGCTTCCAATACCCCCTCTGCATGATGGTAGACAGCGAATCACCCGCGAGAGCCGTAGAAATCGCCCCGCCTGACCAAAACTAGTGAAGGCCAAACTCCTGAACCTCCCCTGCTTCTTTCGCATATATTTTCAGAGCCTTGTACATCTGAGCTGTAGTGATAGGCACGGAACCTCTCAGGGGTTTTTCGTGTTTATCCTTCGACAAATCCGAAAACAGGTATGTATCCTCTCGTCACATACCAGCCGGCGCCTGTGGCCACTCGCACCAGTTGTTCTACTGCACGTACTGGGCACGAGGCAACGAATTCCTCCTCGTAGGGTACTGTCAAAAGGAGGTCAGCCCCGTCTCGCTGTGTCTTTCCCCATTGAAAGTTGAACAGAAGTCCACTTTCATTCGGAAGTCTCAGTATTCGCTGTACGAGCGTGGCCGTCAGCTCTGCGCCCCTCTCTTAGTTGTGCTAAACGCTACATGTACCGTAGAAAACTCACTCCGAACGGGATTACCTACTCGCAGATTATCCCAAGTTCTTTCTCAGATACCCATGGCGAGTTTTGAAACATGGTTCGACCTCAAATAACTGTGTGCATATCTTAAACTGCACTCCTCCTTCCGTAGAACACGTTGTAAGTAAGGTCTTTACCGTCCCTAAGGTTCTCGTCCCTCCACAACTCGATAACACACAATGCAACTTGCATTACTGTATGCAGAAAACCTACTCTCGGCCAGACGAAACTATCGCACCCTCGCATCTGGTGGACTTCCGACGACTCCACCTGCCTAGCGCTCTGCTACCACGCCAATGCATGTTAGCCTTATTGTGAGGCCCAAGGAAGAGCAATGCACCGGCGGAGCAAAAATACGGCGGGACTGTCAAATTCCGTTTTCTATTGGCTGAAATTCAGCAAGTTATTACGATGACCGGCTGAGATGTCATCAGAAGCAAGCGGTTTGCATATCCCTATGCCTTCGTCAAGGAGCTGCCCGTAGCAAGGTGAGGCCCCGTACGCCGTAGGATGGTAGGGGAAGAGGACGCCGCGTCCGGAACCCATGCCTCTCTCTCTGTCGTGCGTGTAGTGCCTTATTTGTTTTGCCCCGCGGTTGCATAGGCTTCGATTACGAGTTTGCTTGCAGAGATATTAGACCGGATGGTTGAAGATACATGATTATATATTTGCGGCAGTGTTGGATATTGGGTATCGAATATCGATACAAAACTGATATATATCGCCGATACGCAGTATCGGTATTGCCGGTTTCCACGCCGATATTTGTCGATACGAATACGCAGTATCGGTATTGCCGGTTTCCACGCCGATATTTGTCGATACGAATCGCCGGTTTCCACGCCGATATTTGTCGATACGAATCGGTATCGGTATTTATATCATGGTATTCGATACTCGATATTTTTTCAGGGTTACTCACGGAGCGGTTTTTTTCCACGGAGCGGAGCGGTTTAAACCGCTTCGCACCGCTCCGTGAGGTTTTCCCTTGAGAAAAAACCGCTCCGCTCCGCTCCGTGACATGAACAAAAAAACCGCTCCGCTCCGTGAGAAATCTGCGCTCGGATAAACCGCTCCGCTCCGCTCCGTGGGGCTTCCCAATAATCCGTAGAAGCGGTTTTTTCACGGAGCGGTTTGACCTACTCCGTCACACAAGCACGGATAAAACCGCAATACAGCCGCGGTTTTACCACGGAGTATCGTTTTTTTTCCTACGGAGTCGCGATATTTTTTCATTTTTTTATTTTTTTCTGTTCTACTTTCACAGCAGCCACACAGACACACACTCCGTGCACACGAACCACACACACTCCGTGCACATCAGTTCGTGTGCACGTCTGCCTATCTCTGATGGAGTCGACATCCGACCCTGGCGACCGCCCTTCTGGGGACCGCTCTCCTGGTGGTGCTGGTGCTGGTGCTGGTGCTAGTGCTGGTGCCGGAGGTTCTGCTGGCGCTGCTGCTGCAGCAGCAGCGGCGCAACCTGGGGAATCCCTCCTGAGCACGGTGCGTAGCGTCAAACGCACCGTCATCAACGTTGCAGAGACCGTACCACACGGGAATTTGTCGGGAGTTTGGACGTTTTTCCAGAAGCTCAACAAGCCGTTGGACAACGGGAAGAACACGCGATGCATCGTTGCCGATGAAGACGGCAAGGAATGCGGCCGGATGTACAAGCACGTGGCCAAGAACGGCACGCGTCCGCTGCTAGACCATCTGCGGACGAAGCATGTTCCACAGTACGAGTTGGCGATGAAAGCGAGCAACAAATCTACAAAAGCGAAGCAGGAGAGAGGCAAAGCATACGCTACGGCTGCTGCCGCTCGTGGCAAATGTGAGTGTGTTGCGCATGTACACAGCAGCAGAGCAGTAGAGTGCGAGCCTCCACTCATTTTTTTTTTTTTCTTTGTATGACACAACGAATCCATCTCTACCATAGAAGAGTCTGAGGCCAATTGTTAAGCTGTCCTGTTTTGGGCTGTCCCTTTTCTCAAAAAGGGACAACTGACCAAGAACCACTTGTTACGTGGTCTTTTTTTGCATTTTTGAACCTCCCGAAAAGGGACAGCGAAAAAAGATCGCCCCATCCTGTCCCTTTTTGGGCAACTTTGTGACAGGATGGGACGGTCCTTTTTTGTTGTCCTTTTTCTGTCACAACACATGACACTTGCCCACAAACTTGAATATCTCGACGGATGATCCCCGCAAACTCTAACGGTATTCGCACGAGTCGTGTCATGTGACTGGTACGGAGTCAGTAGCCTCGGCGATAGACGTAATGTTGTCATTTGGCTGACCAGGTGGACAACCCGATGTGTGCGGCAAACAAGCGGCAAACGAGCCGAAAGAGCCTGGACGCAGCAGCGGTGGGTCTTTTTGGTGCACAGTCAACTTTTGCGAACCCAACTTCTGGGCGACCTATAGCGTCCTGGTCTGTATCAATCACCACACAAGACGAATCAGACGCACAGCTCATGGCGGATACCTTTGTCATCGCTGTTGGTTCGGTGTGTGACGAGGGAGCATCGATGAACCAAAGTTGCAACACGGGGAAAAATAACAAAAAATATGCTTGGAGACGCGGCGGGTAATTTTTCCCGCTTGTCCACCACTCTCGCGCTCACAACCTCTGACCGCCCGTCAGCCTCCTGGTCTGTATCAACCACCACACAAGACGGACCATACACATAGCTCGTGGCGGATACCTTTGTCATCGCTGTTGTTTCAGTGTGTGGCGAGGGAGCATCCATGAACCAAAGTTGCGGCATGGGCAAAAAAGAGCAAAAAAGGCTGGTTGTTGGCGCGGTGGGGTTTTTCAAGGTGCTGCTGTTGACTCTCGCCACCTCAGTTGCCGTGCCTCCCACTGCCCTGTGGTCTCGATCAGCCGCCACACAAGGCGGACCAAGCACCCAGCTCGCGGGGGACAGCTTTACAGTTGCTGATGCTTCGCTCTGTGCGGAGATATCACCGAAAAACCAACTCGGTGCCAAGGTACTCACTGTGTGACGAACGGTCGTTGCACTTGTTGTTGCAGGGTTGCAGGGTCATTTTTTTTGGCGAATGAGCAAAAAGGATCGACCAGCACCGTAACAAGTGGGTCATCTTTTTGCTAGATTATTTTTTGGTTCGTCCCTTTTTGAGAAAAGGGACAGCCCAAAAAGGGACAGCTTAACAAGTGGCCTGAGACCGATTATTATTATTTTTTTTCTTAATATGACACCTTTATTTTTTTATTTTTTGTATGCATACTGCTGTACGTGCGCCAACGCACACACATGAACCACACTGCGTTTGATTTTCCAGAGGGCAACAGTTTCCGTGTCTTCCCCAGCTATTGTTTGTTGTCTCTCTCCTCCTCGCGTGCGTTCCAGTACGAAAAGGAACAACACAAACAACATAAAACATACCAACAAGGCGAAAATTAAAAATAAAAATTGTAAAAGTTAAAGTTCGATTGGTGTAGACTTCCAAACATTTAAATATTTGTAATAATCTAATAATCTCGCCGCTTTTTTCTTTTTTCCTCGCTTTCTCTCCCACCCCCCCTCTGCTCTTTTTGGTGTGCTCCTCCTTTACTCTCAGCCTTCTTTCCTGGGCAACAGAAGACCCCCGTCACCCCGCAGCTGAAGCATCACCTGGACCGCCTTTCAGTGATATGGTGTGTGCAGAGCGGACGGCCTTGGCGTGCCCTCAGAGACCCGGGGCACAAGCTGCTGCTGTCGGAGTTTGTGCCGGAGTACGCCGCTACGGACATCTCACATGCAGCATTGGACAAGATCCTTTTGGAGATGTACCAGACGGCGAAGACTTCCCTTGTCGCCCAGCTCAAGGAAGCCTACGAGGAGCTGAAGAAGATCGGCTACCACCTACCACGGCCCGTTCTGCTGTCTACAGCTGGACTTGACATCGATTGGCACCGACGAGTTCTGCACAGCCTCGGTGTCGGTGATTCTGTGAGTTGGTACTTCTACGTTGTTGAGAGCTTGATGTATGTGAACAACCCCACACCCCTCATGGTTGTTTTTTGTTTTTTGTGCTATACATATTTATTTTTATTTTGACAACATAGCATTTCCTCTTTTTGCAGCAGCTCACGGGAATCGTTTGTCTTCGCGTGCTAGAAAGAGCGTACGTGTTCTGGATGCATGTGTGCGTACATGTGTTGGAATCCGCGCCAGAAGCATGAACACACACGGCTATCTTAGATTTTTTTTTTTCCGTCCATGTTTTTCGCTACACAGGCCCAACAAAAAGTTGCCGGTGCACCTCAGCCTTGCGACCAAGGTGTTCCGAGGCCAGCACACACAAGCGACCATCAAGACCTGGCTCGAACAGGTGCGGTTGACGATGTCTGGTTTGCCCATCTTCCCCAAACGCCCACCCTGTAGGATGTAGGATGAGTTAGTTGTATACAAATTGGCATAGTTGTCCGCAGGGTGTGAAATTCATTGATTCGGCACTAGTCTGTGCATTCTAGAGAGTAGGCTGTGATGATGTGCATGGCGTCGTCACAATCAAACCTTAAACATTGCCATCCTCTCCTCACTTCCTATCCTCCCATAGTGCAGTTGACGACTGGTGTTTTCCAGTCGATCGTTCCCGCGGTGGTGCCGTCGGACGTGTACGTTGCGGCCACGGTCGACCAGGGGCTCAACGTGGTTAACGCCTGCAAGTCTTTGGGCATCCCAACGATCCCGTGCCTCGGCCACCGGATCCACAGCTCCGTGATGTGGGGGATCGGCGTCAGCGGCAGCGTCGCCACACAGAAGAACAAGAAGGGAAGGGTGCTTGTGGGAAGGTGCGCAGCTTGCGCAGGGATGTTCAGCCACTCTTGCACCAACAGCGACGCCTTTCGTCTCGTTCAAGAGACCATGCACGCCAAGTAGCGGGAGGAGATGGAGCAATTTCGTATCGACGCCAGCGCCATCGAAGAAGCAGCTGAAGAGGCGACACCAGCCACCGCCGCCGCGGCTGCCACCGACGGGGTCCCGAAGGCACTCAGCATCTGCAGGCGCAACGACACCAGGTGCGATATATTTTTATTTTTGGTTCGTTCAATGCAGACGAACGCGATTTTGTGAAATGCTACATCTAAGTATCCCGCTCTACATGACTGACTGCCGGGACACATTCCGATGGGAACGATTTCACTGCTGTTGGCGTAGATCGTGTGAGTCTTGGAGTGAACGTTTTACATTGAAAACTGAAAATTACACTGGTGCACTATTGCACCTGCAACCAAGTATTATTCCCCCGCTTAAGTTGACGATTTTACCTTGCAGTTAAGTTGCCGGTGCTGTGCCACACAGAGGTTCGTCGCTGTCGCTTTGATTGCTGGGAAGCGTGGTACCAGGACTGCGAGAAACTTGATACCAATCCTGCTCTCCGTATCTACACCGTACCAAAATGCACTCTCCCCCGCCCGCACGCAAACCCTTGTCGTTGTCTCTTCGCTGACCCATCTATACTTGCGCAGGTGGCTGTCCACGGATCGGTTTCTGGAGAGACTGTGCGTCCTCGACGAAGCGATCGGCGAATTCCTCAAAGGCCGCCCAGACATGGCTCACCGGGGTCTCTCACCTTCCGAGTGGATGGCGACAAAGGAGCTCTGCAGCGTACTGGAGCCGCTGAAGATCGTCACCCACAAGATCCAAGGTGGTGCTGAAGGACTTCTCAGCCGCGCCATCTACCTTGCCCACGACGTCGGCGAAATGCTCCGCGAGGATGCCATCGAGACTATCGACTGGGCCAGCCGGAAGGCCAAGGGGAAGGACTCCACTCCCGGCCCCATGGTAAACGTCGCCAAGCTCTCCGACGTCGCCTACACGGCCGTTAAAGTCATCGGCGAGGAGTTCAAGAAGCGCAACATCGGCACCCCGGTTGAAGACGTCGAATTTCTAGCCCTGTTCTTCGACCCGCGAACCAAGAACTTCGGCAAGAGCGTATGTGGGGGAGAAGAGGGCAAGCAGAAAGCTCTGGCGGCGCTTTCGGGTGTGTCGATCCACACGGTCGAGGCAGTTGGCGCCGTCGGTGTGCAAGCCCCACCTGCTGCCACCCCGCCGCCCGAGAAACGAGCAAGGGTGGCCACGACCGCGTACGAGAGGCGTCAGGTGCGGAAGGTGAAGGAGGCAGCAGCCGCGCGGACGACTGCGCGTAGAGACCAGCCGTCTGTGACGGACCGCTTGGAGAAGGAGGTGGATGAATACAGCAAGCTGCCTGCCGCCGTCCCCGCGAAGGACTATGACGTCCTCGGTTTCTGGCAGGATGCCGGCAGCCCGCGTCTTGACGCCCACGGCAACATTGTTTCTGCAGCGCAATTCCCCATCTTGTCCATGCTTGCTCGCGTGTACCTTTGCATTGACAGCACTAGTTGCCAATCAGAGAGGGACTTTTCGGGGCTGGGATTCGTGTACAACAACCTTCGGCAGGCGATGATGCCCGACCGTGTCGAGATGGTGATGTTCCTCCGGTCTAACCCCCATCTTATTCCCGAGATCAAGAAGTTGGACAATGAGTTGGGGAAGCTGCTTGCAGCGCAGTCTGTTGGGAAGGCTAAAGCTGCATCTGTCCAAGCCGCTTGTGCGGGAAAGCAGGTGGTTGTCGAGGTCGAATCTGACTGAGCGACATAGCGGCGTATGTTTTTGGATGATTACACAAGGCGCCTGGTGTTACCCATGTGCTAGTACTGGCAAGTTTCTAAGAGAGGCAAATGAGGAATTAGCTGCTGTTGTACGTGTTGCAGGAACGGATGAGTTGGGAGGTATTAGTACTGGCAAGTTTCAACGAGAGGCAAGTGAGGATTTGTCTGCTGTTGTACGTGTTGCAGTGTTGCAGGAACGTAGGAGTCGAGGAGGTATCGATGTGGGGAACGGTTCCTTTCTGAATAATTGATTAGTTGACAGTTTTTTGGTCTGTTTGGGCTGTCCTAGCGACGAGGACGCATATACGGTGTCACCGGCGGCCTCCAAACACAGCACACCGTGTTAAAAAGTCGGTTTTCGGTGTACAAAACCCGACGTTTTTTAAGAAATTGCAGGTACTCCGTCGATTCTGTACGGATATCCGTGCGGTTTCGACGGTTTTTTCTGACGGATAACCGTCCTTAAAGACACGGTTTTGCTCGGTTTATGATACGGAGTATACAAAACCGCTCCGTGAAAAAAAACGCACTACGGATTAACCGCTCCACACCGCTCCGTGACATCAGAAAAAAAAACGCTCCGCTCCGTGAGACTATTGCCCTCGGATAAACCGCTCCGCACCGCTCCGTGACATTTTCAAATAAAAAACCGCTCCGCACCGCTCCGTGGAAGTAAAAAAAAAAGAAAAACCGCTCCGCGGAGCGGTTCTACTCCGTGAGTAACCCTGGATATTTTGGCCCCCTTTTTTACCGGGGGGGGTCAGTTTCCCAGCTGTCTACCCCCTTTTTTCGCTCCCCGGAGGCGCCTGCTACGCGCCTACTCCTGTCGCCCCCCACTGCCATCACAACCACACACCACACACACACCAGCCCCTGCCAGCCACACACCACACCAACAGCGCCTGTGTCTCAGCTCCTGAGAACCACATCGGTGTGCAACATGAGTCTTCAAGAATTCGGCTTTGTCGCCGGCGATAGCGCTGCCTCTCTCTGCCGAATGAGTAGTAGTAGCAGCAGTCATCCCCGTTAATTTTAGAGTCAGCTTGCCTCCTTACTACGTAAATTTGGCGTTTCCCGCAGTTTCAGCAGTAGAACTGCTACATTAGTGCGAACAGAGGCCGTACCTCCTGCGGACAATTTATGCTGTGTGAACTTGGTTTTGGGACTTGTAATACGTAATGGCAAGGTGTGCTTGATTTCATGTCCGACCACTTGGTCGGGCGTGTGATAAATAGAGGTAGGTGGTGATGTCGTCGTGTTCAAGTTTGGCAAGCGTTTGATTTTCGCACATAATGTTTTCGCCATGTTTTTTCTTTTGTTTCCTTTTGGCTGTTGGTTTTTCTAGAGTTGATACTCGCTCGAGGTGCATTGCTGATTGTTGGGCACCCACAACTGGTGGGTGGAATTTTGCATGCATAACTTTGAAGGTAAGATAATAATAATAATAATATAAAACCAAGTGTTCGAGTTTTTTTCGCGTTTTTTTGTCATGAAATCCTGCTCGCAGCCGAGCTTGCACTGATTCGATCGCAACCGTACGGCGGTGTTATAGTGTGAACGTGTATACACACATGCACACTGACTGTAAAATGTAAAATACATCTGGTGGACATAGCTACACAACCAACTCCTGCCTCTTGCACGATGCAGTTTTTTTTTTTTTTTGTATGCGCAACATCACGTCACAACGTGTGCCCGCTGTTGTTGTGCCCGTGATGTTCAACTAACTAACTGCACACACCTGGCACCTGGCAAACACCACTACTTCCATGCCGCCGGACCATGCGCGCACGTCTTGCGCACTGCTGTATACCACTTCAGATAAGGGTTCGGGTGTGCCAGGGTACGTGTAGTTGCGTAACGCTCGCTCTTCTTGTAACCTGAGGCCTTCAAAACAGCCGTATCGATATCGAGTATCGATACTCGATACGTATCGAGCCATTTTCGGGATATCGAACAAAATATCGGTATTTGTGTTCTTTTCTCGATACGATCGGCGTATTGTATCGAACCCTTCTGCCCGACCAATATCCAACACTGATTTGCGGTCATTGTCAACGAGTACCTCTTGCATGCTGCTTGCTATGTACATGTGGAGCAACCACTACCTTCTCCCATGAACTCGCATCCAAGCGTCTCACATTGGTTCACCCGCTCTGTCCACCCGCTAAAATCATTACACCTACCTGTAGACGCTCTGATAAAAAGGTGCAGCCCTATGAGAGCCAACACGGGCGGGTCGGGGGGGTCTCCCACACTTTTTACAGTTTTCCCAAACGACCCATGGGATTCCCGTGGGTGAGCCGTGGGTGACCCGTGGGCCGCCCATGGGCACCCCGTTAGGCCCATGGGCATGCTCATACCCATGGGCATGGGCATGCCTATGGACATGCCCATGGGCAACCCATATGGGCTGCCCATGAGCGTGCCTATGGGTAGCCCGTGGGCAGCCTATGGGCAACCCATGGGCAACCCATGGGAAACCCATGGGCGGCCAATGAGAGCCCTTCAACCGAACCAGTGTACTCCTAAATAAAAGATTATATGCTTTGGAACGGGCACTAAAGCGGCTTATAACCCTAACGCTAACCATAGCCCTAACCCCAAGCCCACACGATGCGTGCTAGGTTGTAGGTTGGCGTTGGTGGCAAAGTTCTAGGTTGACGTGAAGGGGGCTAAGTTCTAGGTTGATATACCGTTGGCGAAGTTCTAGGTTGAAGTGCCCACGGTGGGCACTTCATGGGCGGCCCATGGGCGGCCCATGAAGTGGGGAACAACATGTGGACTGCTGCAAACTGCTGCCGAAAGTACTGTTGAGCCGCACAACTGAGATGAGCGGCCCCAGGGAGAGACGAAGGGCTGATGCAGAAACCGATCAGGTCGTTTGAGCGACTGCGGCGCTACTGTCCGCTGAGGGTTTTGCCAGTTTCCGCTGTAGGCTATATGTATACGCATCTATGCGGGCGATAGTATTGGAGAGAGGCGGAGAGTGCTGAGCGGAGACTCGGAAAAGAAGGGGCTGCAGAAAAATATGTCTCGCTTGCTCTGCGTTATCCGCTTGAGATGAGATCCTGAGCGGGCGAGCGGAGAGAGGAAACAATCGGTGAGACTGTACATATGAACGAAGCGTGACTGACAGATCGATTGAGGCGTCCGCTGACCAGTTGACCCGGTTTCCACGAGCGGGCGGGACAGACAGACGCAAGCGAATACTTTATTCTGCCCTGCCTCTCTATGGACATCGAAACTCGTGCATACGATGCAATAGAGGCGCTACAAATGTCCTACATACGGGAACGGAATGGCGAAAAGAAGGTGGTGATGAAAAAATACGAATGAGGCACAGACTGTTCAAAGATCGGAAATAAATTCACAGCTCCTCTGTCAGCAGATGTACATACATTCATGAAGATCCCGAAGAGACTGCTGTGGTTGTCACATTAAAAGTCCATTCGGGTCTCCGCTCATCAGAGATGGAAAGTTGGACATATACGTATCTTTTCTATAGATAAAGATGGATTCGTTGGGTCATCATGATGAAATAAAAAATATGTACGTATGTATGCATGCACAGCTTGGAACAGCTCCTGTGATGAACATAGTTTATTGGCGTGTGAAAGCCCGACAGTCATGTGAGGTCCGTGAAACGTATTTCGTAATACTATTTGAAAGGGGGAATGGTTGACCCCCGGCTCCTCAATGGGGCGGACGGCCAGCATGCGAGGGGAGCCTGCCTGCGGCGCAAGGGGATTTTGCTAATGGATCCCGATTGTTAGACGCAGCCCTGCATTCAAGACGAAAGTTAGTTTCACAGCGACGCAGGGCCGCGCCGTGGACGAGAACACTGGATAATATGTGGGATTACCAGGGCGCTTCACGGACGACCGCTATCGGTGGCCGCCTCTACTTGTAGGTTGGATGGCGGTGGCATGTTTGCGCTGGGTGAGTTTGTACAGGAGAGGAACCGTGGAGGAACGAAGAAGTGTTGTTGTGAAAAGTTGTTTCTGTTGGTGAGCATCGACCGCACGCTACATGCAAATGTCGAAGCGCACGTACTTGAACACCTGACACCCCTCCAAACTGTTCCGCTACACCTTCCCAGCAACATGCTGTCCACATGGACAAGATGGCTACCAAACTGCGTTGTAGAACCTGGTACCCACAGGGGAGATATCGCTGTGTGCTGCTCGTGAAATCGTAGGAATACAGCTAGTTTCGCCGACGCTATGAGTTCATTGGTAGTCTATTCCTAACTGGTACTTTATTCGAGCGAAGCGAGATTTCTAATAATCTGGACTGCCGGCCCCCCGAATGGAAAGGGCTGGCTGAAATCCAAAAAAGCTTGCGTGTCTGTACGCGTTTTATCTAGGTTTTACAGTACAATAGGGGGACCTGTTTAGTGCGGTTGATTAGTGCCAGGTGCCCGATATTGCGCCGGTAAAATCTCTGGACACAGGCGGTGCTCTCAATAGTGCCAGACCGGCACTATTGAGAGCTTGCCCGGTATAGTGCCGGTTCGGCGCCACTGTCACCCCCAATAGTGCCGGTTACCCCTCGCGCGCGAACACACACACACACAGCTTTTTGCCGGGGAAATTTTGACGACGAAAGAGCCTTAGTTCGCCTAAAAGCGTTTCATACTAACAGGATTCGGAGACGGTTTACCTTCGAGCTAGCTCGTTTTCTGTCGATGCGAACTCGCGACGTGTTCAAACGTCATGGGCTACTGATCGACCAACTTCCACCAGGGCCAATCGGTTGGGAGCT